TCCTTGCCTCAAGTACCACACCACGTTGAAGGATACAACTTTTTGATCAAACTTCTTGATTAAAAAGGGGGTAGGTCAACTTTCTTACAAGTTGATCTTGCAAGTCCTATTGTTCGGACCTTGCAGTTGTTGAAGAAGCGTGACCTTCGAAGGAACAACAAAGCCAGCACGAGTGCAGTAGCAACATTGGTCTTGCGAAGATATACCGTGCAGAAATTCACACAAGTGTAATTGTTGGTTCATTATTCAACAACCAACTACATAGTGGATTTTGAGGACGTAGAAGGATTACCCCACCTTCGAACCTCGTTAAAGTTTGCGTGTCTCTCTCTTTTATCTTTACTCTTACTTGCAATTACATTAACTGTGAAAACTAACCCATCCATATTGATTATTGCTCACTCTACCCACCAAATTCCGCACACAATCTAAAGTTCTCAAGAACTCTAGATTAACACTTATTTTCACGTTTTCCAAAGAAACGAAAAAGATTTTAAATTTGTAACAAAGTCTATTCACCCCCCCTCTAGACTTTGTATCTCACCACTTTGGGACCACCATCTTATGTTATTAAGAATTATTTTTAATTTTATGGTTGAACAAATTTAATGAGATGATATATGGGCCGGTTTCTATGACATTGAAAATCAATGTCATTGGATGACTCGGGGTATTCCGGTGGCCCGTACTAAAATTGACAGTTTTTACCCCTTAACCTTAGTATACCCCATACCCTGCCCCGATACGTACACACCCCACCCCCTTCCATTGCACCCCAAGTTAATTTTAACTTTGTAGTCAAAATTTAACTCTAGAGTAAAAATTAACTTAGGGGTGCAATTGAAGGGGGTATGGGGTGTGTTCGGGGTGGGGATTTACCGGAGATTGGTGGGATAGGAATCATCAATTTTATTAACGGGTCACTAGAACACCGCGAGTCATTCCATGACATTGATTCCCAATGTCATGGGAACCAAGGTGATGGTATATACTTCTTCTTATTCTTATTATTGCTGACATTACAGCTAATGAAGAAGAAAAAGGTATTTTGGCTAGATAATTGTTATTAGTTCAAATGCAATTTAATCATTTTATAAGCTATTCGTTTTGGTCTAATTCACAAAAACACATCCAAAATGTCAGTTGGTTCAGGTGGAGTTAAGTCGTGCTGAGATCGAATCTAAACGCTCTCTATTTCGTGAAAATCGAGGAGAAATGTCTGACTTGATGTGCAACTCACTGGTAATTTTCTTCTCTAATTTTATTCTTCTGAGTATATAAATTCTAGATATTCAATTTAATATTATTTTAAAATATTTTATTCATAAGTTATGTTAAGAAAAAAATTAATATCATTTATAATATAATACAAAGTATGAAATATTTAAAATATATTTCTTGTATTTGTTTAAGATATTGAATTTATAATATTTAATTTCTAAATATTTAAAAAATGATAATAATGATAGTAATAATAATTGATTAAATTTTGATGTTGTGTTTATATTAAGTTTTATTTCTACTATTAATTTTGATGTTATTGAATTTACTAGATTCACACCCGTGAGTTGCACGGAAACTAATTTGTTTCAAAATAAAAATAATAAGATATTTAAGTTATCAATGATTGAGTAAAAATAAATATTAGTGAATGATATGATATAAATTTAGATTCATATGAAATCAAATGTTGTATTATAGTCCAACATTGAATGCAATCAAATTACACAATACATTATATATTGATAAAACATTCACAAATTATGATAAACTTCATTATAAACAACATTTGATGTGGAGCATGCTCGTTGACCATTCTCATTACAAATCAAAAATTTTAAACCACTACGATCTGTAACTCGTTCATGAATGAATACATGCTTTTTGAGAAGAAGGCATAAGTAAAACAATGACTAAACTTGACTTTTATTTATGATAGCGAATGAAATCATTGGAGAAATTACGCCAGAGAAGGATATTAGCTTCAAATTCCCAATTGGGAAGAACGGTATTTGAGATACCGACCATTTTTTTTGTTTTCGAGTTTTAGAATCCTGAATTTCTTAAGTAAATAATTATGGAATTTGTATGGGCAATTAAAGAACCGTAAGTCAAGTACACACATTTTATTTTTTTGTTTTTCCTTTTTTTTGAGTTTTAGAATCCCGGTTATTTTAAATAATATAAATAATTACTAATTTTGCATGGGAGGTGTGTCACAAATACTCCATTAATATAAACATTTAAAATCTAAAAAACTGAAGAAAAATTGAACTTTTTCATAAACAAAAAAATAATGAAAGAAATATTTTATTGAACAAGATACAACCAACAAAAAGACCAATAAAGTTACATTAAGAGCATGTTCTTTAGGACTGGAAAAAAAAAGTTGGATGTTTGGAAGGAACTGGAAGAAACTAGAAGAAACTGGAAGAAACTGTAAGGAAATAGAAGAAACGGGAAGAAACTAGAAAAACTTCAAAAAATTAGAAAACCTAAAAAAACTTTACAATTTTTTTTAATAATTATTGTTATAAATTATTATTATTATTACTATCATTATCATCATCATCATCATCATAATCATCATCATCATCACGTTATCTCAATGAATGCCTTTAAGATACAAAAAAAGTATTGTTATTTTTCAAATACAAAAAAAACTACTTTTTCAAAAAAAAGATTATAATATAAAGTTAGCATAAATGTAAAAATACTACTCC